ATAAATAATGAATATGAAAAAGAACAAACTTTCCATTATTTACACTTTATACTCTTCTTCTATTCTCATTGTTTTATTGTTTTATTATATGTATATTTTCCATGTTGTTTATTCAATTTCACATTCTCATCTATTTCACATTATTAAAATGAATGGATAACTTGTTGGTGATATAAAAATCTATTATTTCTTGTATTCATTCATTTGTTAATTATTCTACTTCTTTTACTTAATTCATTTTTCATCATCATTAAAATATTGAAAGAATAGAAAGTACAATGTTTATCGTATTAAATTTTATATCTTTTATTGTTGTTATTCATTTTTCATTTGTATTTTATTGTTAAAATAAAAATAAATGATTGATTTATACTATGATTAAAATAGTAATAATACTCCTAATGATCATAACAGATGAAACACTATCATCATAACTATCATTAGTATAACTATAACTACTTTCACTACTTATTGAATAAATTGACTCAATATGATTCTGACATGTACAACATTATACTCACTTATTATTTCAATATCTTAACCATTTCTATAATTACAATCTTCATGTGTTTTAAACATGAATTCAATAATTATTCTTTTCTTCAACACATTTTGTTTTATCATGACACTTATTTATTTGAATTGTTGTAGAAATCATTGATTTAGAAATGTCTTTAATATTACACATTTGATTTATTTCAATGAATGTAACAATATCATTTCTAAATTGAATATCTGAAACAAGACCATCAGAAATACTTTAAATTCAAGGAACAACTATATTAGATATTTCTTCTTTGAATATTTGAATAACACAACTCCTGTTACTTTCTGTTGTTTTAACAAATTTCTTAAAAACATACTCTTCAGTTTTAAGACAACTTTTAACACTATTATTTTATATTTAACATTGCTTATCTTTAAATAAACATTTCATTTCTTTCAATTCATTTAAACCACATCTTTAACACACTAAATTGATGTTCTGTATCTTTTCAATATTCAAATTATACAAACATAGATATTACAACAATAAACACTCTTGTTTAAATTCATTCTCCATCAAATATTATTTCTTCATTCATTTATCACATCTATTTCAATATATAAAACACATGTTGTAATAATATCTTTAGTACCATGAATTGTAATATCATTTCTTTTATTATATTGAATGTTATTATCATCTTTATTCAATTCATAAATATCATTTGAATCAAATATGTCATTTCTACATCATGTTTTAATAAATATCTTGATTTCATTTGTTGAACTTTTCTAAATGAAGATGAAATATCACGAATATGTACTTTACTTTTAATATTAATAATATTTCTAATTTCCATTTCATATCATCAAATCTATCAATAATAATATTTTCAAATTCATTATATGCATTATTTTGATTATATTTATATTGAACAACACCAATTTGAGTCATAATGAACAGTTTATTATTATAATAAATATTACTATTATTGTAATATGTGTATTGTGTTTTATATATCTCAGTACTTTCAAGTTTAATATCAGTAATATATTTTGATTGTATTTCATTACTTAAGTCATATGAATTATTACTATCTTCATATGCTTGTGTACATTTATCATCATTAATTATTTTAATTTGATAATCAGTTATTTAATATTAGATTTATCATCTTTACCATTCTTATTTTCAATAGTAGTGATACTATTACTAGATTTACTATGAGATAGTGTTTTTGTATTTTGAATATTCCTCTCATGTGTATTCTCTTTATTAATTATCCTATATTCTTTATCTTCTCCATTCTTGTTGCTATGTTTTGATTGTTAGTTATTCTAATCTATTGTTTATGAAATACATTCATATACTTCTTCTCATATTTAAAACATTTTGCACTATCCATATCTTTAGCAATGTGGAATGGAAGTTCTAAAACATTGTGATATTCATTGTTATTATTGTAGTGGTTCAAACAGAAAATTCAAGTTGAAATCTCTTCTTCAAAATTGATTGTAATAATCAATAAAAAACAAATCATTGATTATAAAAGAAGTTACTCACTCATTTAAATACATAATCCTTGTTATTCAATCTTTTAAACACTATATTTGATGAGATGTATTCGTTTTTCAACTCAAATTCTTTATAAATAAATACTATAAAAGATTAAATATTAATGAAACAAATCAAATACCTAATATATTCTTGATTCATTTCTCTTTTTAATAGTAATATTTAGATTACTTTAAATGTCTCTATTTATTATCAATTTATTCATTTTCTGTGAATTACTTGTTTTCATGTTGTTGTTATTTAATTTAAGTTTTCTCATGATGGGTGAATGAAATAGTTTCTTTATAATTAATTACATTGTGATTAATAAGAGAATATAATCCAGTGAGTTGTGATTTATAATATTGTCAAGATTTGAATACAACTTATTAATCATCGTTTCATACAAACTAGATTGGTTATTTTCTATATTTTTGACATTTCTAACTCTCTAAATTTACAACAACATCATTCTTTTATATTTTTTACAATTCATCATTCAAATTTCAAAAAATATTATATTAACTGATAAATTATTTATTTTCAATAAAACAGTTGATAGAGAATGTGTTATTTTACAATACAATAAATAAAATTGTTTGTTTGTAATGTGTCAACTAAATACTAATCACTTTATTCATGACTAACATTGTTTGAACATGTTTACTTCTGATGACACTTTGAACAAAATATAAAATTTCAATTGAATTAAAAAGAAGAATTAATGAATTTGAATAAAACAAAATCACAAAACAATACAAATGATGACATAAATTAGAATTTCAATACAATGTTATGAGAAAGAAGAGATGAGTGAGATGATATTGAATAAAAGAGAATGATGAAATTTAAATATAAAATTATTCATAAAATTAAATTGTATTTACTTCAGAAATAAAAACACAATAACAAATGTTTAATATTTAAATTAAATGAGTATCAATATTTATATGAAAATACTCATGGACATTATATAAAAATATTCATTTCACTTTTATAATAATCACATGTTCATTAATTGTTTACATCATATTCAATACAATATTTATTATTTTATTATTTAATTGATATAATAACAACAATGATAAGTGTTAATAATATAATAAAACAAATATGAAGTGATTATAAATTAAAAGAATAAATACTAACAGATATAAATACAGAGAATATAAGTAATGGTAAATGAATCATTTCATGATTTTATTAATCATTTACAAATGAATTAATATCATAACTAACATCTATTAACAATATATGATATTAAAATATTTCATATTTATAATAATTAATGATTAGTATATCTCAATTTAAATATATTTTATCATTCATTAATCAATATATCTCATTATTGAAGTTACAATTTATTATTTTAAATATTCATTTGAATTCTCTTTCATTATTTCCATTGTTTCTTTTATTTCTTATTTGTTTTTATCTATTTCTATATCCATTAATCAATATGTATTTTTATGACATTTATGATATGATTGTATTTATTCTATCAAATGAAATAGAATAAAATAATGATGAGATAAATCATACCAATATTCATTAAAGTATTATATGAATATCAAATGTGATGTTATATAATAATTAATCAATTTTCAATACAGATAATGTACTCCCATCATTCTTCTAACATTTGTACTTCCTATTTGATAATATTTATCATTCATTTATCATGTATCAGTTATATTTTGTTGTTTCTTTTTCTATCTTATGATAAAAAATAAGAATGATAAGAATATGAACAAATAACAATGAAAGAAGTGAATAAGAAAAGAAATATGAAACTACATAAGAATTAAACAATAAATTAACTGAATAATAATCTCATTTTAACTAAATAACAATCATTAATTAATTTAATGAATAAAATGAAATGATGTTAAATAAAATGATAAAATAAATAAATAAAATGAAATGTTATAAACGTGTATTAATTATTTAATCATATGATTTTAATATGGTATTCATTAAATTAAAATGGATGAGTTAATAAACAAGAACACTCATTTCTTTAAAGAAGGAATAGAAACACTTCCAAATATTCAACAATCAATTGATGATATTATTAAACATTATCAATATTATTTAGGAAGTATTAAAAATGAAATATTTGAAATAAAACCAGATGAAACATATTCAGAAGCAATTAAAAGAGGAGAAGGAATAATTGATAGAAATGATGAAACAGAAAGAAGAAGAAAACTAATAATAGAAAAAAGTCAAGAAACAATTAAAAGAATAGAAATAATAAAGAATAAAATGAACAAAATAATAGAAGAATGTAATAAAGATGAAGAAATAAGTAATAAAATTATTTCAATTGAAGAAATGATATGAAAAATAAAATACTATACTAGAAGAAGACATTAATAAAGAGAGAACACATTCCTGTGATATCTAGAGAAGAAAAGAAATTACAAAGAATATGGAATTTCAACAATTAAAACACAAAAACAAAAAAAGAAAGAATATAAACAATATTCTTAATTATCAATATGATAATTAAAATATCACATATATTTCAATAGTTATCATTCTTGAAAATAAATATTAATTATTGAATATGATTTTAAATTTAAAACGTTCATTGTTATTGAAATGAATAGTATTTTATATTATTCTTTAATTTATCTTTCAAATAATTTTATTTACTAAATACATTCAATTATTATTATCATTTATTTATCTGTTATTTTGACTTGAATCTTATCATTTTCATAATCTATTTGAATTTTATTCTTCTCTTTCATCATTCCACTTATTATTGATTTTGTTATTGAAGTTACTACTGTCTTTTCTATATATCTTCGCATTGGTCTTGCTCCATATGCTATTGAATATCCTGATTTAATGATTCCTTCTATTGCTGATTCTGTCATTTCTACTTCACTTAATGGATATCTCTTTTTAATCATTTTAATCACTTCTCCCATTTGTAATTTAACTATTTCTTTTAATTCTTTCTCTGAAAGTGGTGAGAATACTATAATATCATCTAATCTATTAAGAAACTCTGGTTTAAATGTTTTCTTTACTATTTCCATTACTGTTTCTTTAACTTTTCTACTAACTTGTCCTTCTCTTTCTACTCCTTTCATTATTATTTCACTTCCTAAATTTGATGTCATAATAACAATAGTATTCTTAAAATCAACTGTTCTTCCTCTTCCATCTGTTAATCTTCCTTCATCTAATAATTGTAATAATACATTAAATACTTGTGGATGTGCTTTTTCAATTTCATCAAATAATATTACACTATATGGTTTTCTACGAATTGCCTCTGTCAATTGTCCTCCTTCTTCATATCCTACATATCCTGGTGGTGCTCCTATTAATCTTGATACACTATGACTTTCCATATATTCACTCATATCTATTCTAACTATATTTTGTTCATCATCAAATAATTCAACTGCTAATGCTTTTGCTAATTCTGTTTTTCCTACTCCACTTGGTCCTAAAAACATAAAACTACCTGTTGGTCGTTTTTCATTTCCTAATCCTCCTCTACTTCGAATAATTGCATCACTAACTGCTGTTACTGCTTCATTTTGTCCTATTACTCGTTTATGTAGTTCTTCTTCTAATTTCATCAGTCTTGTTTTCTCTGTTTGATTCATTTTAGTAACAGGAATTCCTGTCCATCTACTAACTACTTCTTCTATTTGTGTTGGTGTAACTTGTAATGATATCATTGTTGTTTCTTTATTTTGTTCCTTTAATTCTTTCATTCTTTTTTCTGCTTCTGGTATTGCATAATATTTTAAATCAGCTGCTACTTCTAAATCTTTAGTACTTTCTGCTTTATGTTTCATAGCTTCTATTTTCGTTGCAAGTTCTTTCATTTCTTCACTTCCTCCTTTTTCTTTTTCATAATTAATTCGTAATTTTGTTAATTTCTCTTTATTTTCACTTAATTCTTTTTCAATTTCTTGTAGTCTTTCTTTAATCATTTTATTATGGTCTTCATCACTTTCTTTAATGTCTCTTTCTAATGCTATTTTCTCTACATTTAATTGTGTTTCTCTTCTTTCTAATTTATCTATTTCTTCTGGTTGTGAATTCTTTTGTGTAAATAATGTAGCACATGCTTCATCAACTAAATCAATTGCTTTATCTGGAAGAAATCTTCCATTAATATATCTTTTACTTAATGTTGCTGCTGAAACTAATGCTGAATCGGTAATTGTTAATCCATAATGATTTTCATATTTCTCTCGTATTCCTCGAAGAATATATAATGTATCTTCTTCACTTGGCTCATTTACATAAACTTGTTGGAATCGTCTTTCAAATGCTGGATCTTTTTCTACATATTTTCTATATTCTTCTAATGTTGTTGCTCCAATACATCGTAATTCTCCTCTTGATAACATTGGTTTTAAAATATTAGCTGCATCCATTGCTCCTTCTCCTGTTGCTCCTGCTCCT